GATTAAATACCGGTACATGTTTCAGTTTTGTCATATGTGCTCACATAAATTGCCAATTTTTTATTTATTTTTGATTCTCAAAGAAAAACAATTAAAATTGCCTTTTCACAAGAATGTGTCAAGAAGATGTGTTACACCACTCTTGTGGTTTAAACTTAATTGATTGCAATCTTTGATGGGATGCAGTTTTTTTTCTAGTCACATGTAGTGTACAAAAGTGATTCCATCCTTACCTATTGCTCCCAAATTGTCAGTCAGTTGTGTAACAGAATGTAGCAAGGTTTTGTAATATAGCAGCAAGCTTCAAGAGATATTTTGTTATTTTTGATCAAGACCTGTCATTTAAATCCCATATCAAAGAGGCTTCTATAATTTCCTTCTTTCATCTGTGGAAAATTGAAAAAAAAAAAGCATCTTGTCCAGGGGTAATACTGAGAAAATAGTCCATGCATTTGTTACTTCAAGGCTGGACTATAGTAATTCTTTACAATCAGAAAGTCCACAAATTGTAGTTAAAAAGCCTTCAGCTGCTTCAAAATGCTGCAGCCAGATTTCTGATAAGAATTTAAAAGAGATCATATCTCTCCTATCCTAGCTTTTCTTTCTTTATTCTTTATTGGCTTCCAGTTAAATCTATAATAGAATTTTAAATTCTCTTGCTCACATATAAAGCATTAAATGACCAAGCTTCATCCTATATCAGGGATATAATAATTCTTAACATAGCACTTCGCTCTCAATCTGCAGGTTTACTGTTGGTTTACTAGAATGTCTAAAAGAAGAATGGGAAGCAGATCAGCAAGTTACCAGGCTCCTCTCCTGTGTGAACTAACTAACCGTTCCAGTCCATGAGGCACACACCCTGTATAGTTTTAAGGGAAGGCTTAAAATTATTCTTTTTTTATAAAGCTTGTAAATAGAGTGGCTCAGGTTATCCTGCTATAGGTTTATAATATTGGAGGACATAGGGATCCCTTTTCATTTTATTGCCTTATTCTATCTTTATGTTCTATGTTATATCTAAATGATTTGCTAGTTCAACCTCTAACTTTATGCTCTCTCTGCTTTATATCATTATAGTAGCTGTTTTGTTTGGCTGTGACACCATCCTGGAGAGGAATATCACCTGTGCTGCTGCCACCAACAGCTTTGTTTATAGATGTTGTAGCTTGGTCTGTCTTTCAGTGTAGTCTTGTTTGTCTTATTTTGACTAACTGTATGCACTCTCTTTTATCCTCTGACATGTGAGCTGGCTCAGGGCTCATCTGCCTGGCTTTTCGTTTCCTGGACCGGGCCACCTGTGAAGATGTTTGACAGTTACCTTTTGTGTCTTTGCTTCTTTCTGTATGTCTGCTTCTGTCTCCTTGAACCCCAGTCGGCCTCTGCAGATGGCCGCTCACACTGAGCCTGGTTCTGCTGGGGGTCTCTTCCTGTTAAAAGGGAGTTTTCCTCTCCACTGTCGCTACATGCATTCTTCATTCAACATATACACTGTTTGTAGTGTCAAATAAACACATCACCAACACTGTCTTACACATCTCATTCTGTAGCTACTTCTTATTTTGTGGACAGACAAAAAATACAGTGGCACCAACATTGCAATATCATGTACTATACAGGCAAGTTATACCAAACAGGTGAAGCTGCTGCTGCAGAATTTATGCAACTTCAACCCAAAAGTCCAAACAGTCCAGTCTGGTTAGATAAAGATGTACTCACCTCTTAATGCTGCGAGCATGAAGTGGCTCTAGCAGGTGAGATTAACACATACTTTAAAAATATTGTTTGATCATTTGGGGTTGGGTGACCGGATGTCTAAATTTTCCTAGGACAGTCCCTAGACGGAGGACACAGAACAACAAATCAGAGTCCATAATCAAACAACCTAGCCAGGATGGACCAATCAGGACCTTGGAAGGATGGTGAGAAACAAAAAAACAGAGTCAAAAATAAAACAACCCACTGGAGGACAGTCGGGAGGCCCACAACAAAGAACAGTCTCTGTAGGACGGTGGGAGGCCACAACGAACAGTCATAGGAAACCGGCGATGAAAAAAATCTCTGGAGGACAACCAGAGGTCCTTCATGTGTGCTGCGGTAAACTAGGGGGCCGCTGTCTCCAGCACTGGATCCTTGGGGTTTGCAGCCTACGGAACATGACCCTTAGAGGCCCATCTGTGGCGATGAAACCCTGAAGGGTGCTGTCACAGGAGTAGCAATTCACGGGCAGCAGAGGCAGCAAGGATTGAGATCCTAAAAATGTGGCATAGCTTGAGACGTATAAAGAGGCGCCACTGCTGAAGACCCACAAAGAGGCACCATCAGTGAAGATCCATGTAGAGATGCCACTGCTGAAACCCATGAAGAGCCAACAGTGATGACCCAACATGAGGCACTGCAGATGGTGAGGGACACTCACACAGAGGCCTTTGAGACAAGTACCACCCACAGAGGGGCTCTTGGAAAGGAGGAGCACCCACAGAGGGGCCTTGCAAACTAGGAATGCCCATGGAGGGACTTTGGAGACCAGAAAGGCCTACAGGGGACCCTTGGGGATGAGAAGCGCCCACAGGGGAGCCTTGGAGCAGAATTTCCTCAAAGCTCTGACTCAAGAAGGGGTCCAAGATGAGCAAAGGTGTCAAAGGATAGAAAGTAACATGCTCAGGGTCCTTAGATTGCACAGAGCGGGCTCAGGGGTCTCTGGGGACAGTTCACTAAGAGGCTCTATAGCGGGCTCACAAAGATCTAAAGGAAAAGTCACCAAGGGGCCCAGAAATCTAGAGAATAGTCACAAAGGGGCCCTAAATCTGGGTAGGAGTCACTACGTGACCCTAAATCTCGAGATAAGTCACCAAGGGCCCCTAAATTTGGAGATGAGTCCCTAAGGGGCTCTGGCTAAGAAGCAACTAAATGACAGAGAGCTGATGGAGTTGGCATGACTTTGAAAAAATGTTATTATTATTATTTTTTCTTATTGTGATGAGTTCAGTGGGAGAAGCAGTGGTGAAATTTATGAATCTGCTCAACAAGGAGGCTTAGTTGGTTGTTGAATGAGGTCAATAATTGCTCTTGTGCATTCCGTTGTTGTACGCTGCTAAAAAAAAAAAAACCAGAAACATGTAAACAACACAATATTAGTTTGATCAAATGAAACTTGTGGGAAATGAAACTGTCCACTTAGGGAGCAAAACTGATTAATAATCAATTTCGCACTCTCACACTCTGTTGTGTAGAATAGCCAACAGGTGGAAAACACACTCAATAAAGGAATGTTCTTTAGGTGGGGACCACAGACCACTTCTCAGTACCTATACTTTCTGGCTGATGTTATTGTAATCTTTTAATGTTTGTGGTGCTTTCACACTCTTGGTAGCATGAGACGGACTCTACAACCCACAAACGGGGCACAGGTAGTGCAGCTCATCCAGGTGGGCTCATCACTGCAAGCTGTGGCAAGGTTTGCTGTTTCTGTCACATTAGTGTCCAGAGGCTGGAGTGGCTACCAGGACTTTGGCTAGTACACCAGGAGACGTGGGGGAGGCTGTAGAAGGGCATAACCCATCAGCAAGGAGTAACAGGACGAACACTGCCAGAGCCCTGCAAAATCACCTCCAGCAGACCATGGGTGAGCTGAAACAGTTAGTAACTGACTCCATGAGGGTGGTATGAGGGCCCTACGTCCATAGATGTGGGTTGTGCTCACTGTGCAAGATGCTTGGTATTTGCCAGAGAACTTTTCACAGATTAAAGCACGTTCACACTGAACACATGTAACAGACAGGTATGACAGGAGACACAAAGCGATCTGCTGCCGGCACCATCCTTCAACAGGACCGCTTTGGCAGTGGGTCAGTAATTGTGTGTTGGGGCATTACTTTGGAGGGCCACAAAGCCCTCCATGTGTCCACCACATGTAACATGACTGCCTCTAGGTACTGAGATGAGATCTCCAGACCGCTTGGGAGACCATAAGCTGGTACAATTGACTCTGGGTTCCTCCTAATGCAGTGAAATACAGACCTTGTGTGGCGGGAATCTGCCAGCAGTTCCGTAAGGTTGAACGCATTAAGGCTATGGACGGGTCAGCCCGTTCCCAGACATAAATCTGATTGAACACATCTGGGATTTCATGTCTCGATCCATCCACCAATGTCACATTGCACCATACATTCTCCAGGAGTTGGGGATGCTTTAGTCCAGGTCTCTCAGGAGATCCCTCAAGAGACCACCTCATCAGGAGCAGGCCCAGGCATTGTAGAGAGGTCACATGGAGACCACACAATACTTGTCAAGTGGTTCACACTTTGTTTTTGGTATTTTAACTGCAGTTTTCCCCCACTTGAAAAGGCAGTTTGCTTCCAGAGATCTCACAGGATTTCACTCATCACACCAAAGTTGATTCTTTCCTTTTTTGTCTTTTATTTGAAAGTTCAATCAACAATAGTAGTAGCAGTATTAGTAGTAGTAGTAGTAGTAGGTGAAAAACCTTTAAATATAAACAGAAAACACAATGATTAACATTCTTTAAACAAAATTGTTCCTGAAACAAAATATAAGATTTAAACCCAAAATCAAACATATTCAAAGAATTATTCAGTGATACATTTTAACATTCTAGTGTTCATTTACTTTCTCAAATACATTTTAAATGATTCCTCTTTTTTTTTTTCTTCTTTTTTATTTATTTATATATATTTTTTTCTCAATGTTTCAACATTTCAGTCTAAATATTCAAATAATTTGTGGCTCACCGGCTCCTTCTCCTTGGAACAAACTTTCCTGCAGTGCATTCACCCAGGCACCCTCATAGTGCTCATTGTTTCTTAGTGAGTGAACATCTCCCAACTGATCCTTTAATTATCTTCACCTGTCTCCAGGTTGGGAGACACTCTCCCTATACTCAGTCAGAGGAGGGCGGGGCCTGAATTCAGCTTAACACCTCCCACTCGATCTTCCCACAGAAACTGCTGGAAAGATCGCATGTATCAGTCAATATACAGTCAATTTACAGTCCGACTTCCTTCTGGGTTTCCTGCTTGCTCCTCTGCTGGCAGGAGAACAACTAGTCGTCTGACATCTCTGTGAAGGATTGTAAACTGTGTGTCCCTCAGAATGCTGGATGGAGGAAGCTTGGATGCAGGATTCTTGGATGCGGGCCTCACCTCTGGAGTGCACAAACTTGTTACAACTTTAACATTTACATCCCGCACAATGCCTCTAGTATCTGCATTAACGCTGATGACTCTTCCAAGCTTAAAGTGACCCCTCAATGCATTCTGGTCACACAGCCAAACAATGTCTCCGACTGCAACATTTCTTTTCATAGTGTGCCATTTACTCCTGATAAAAAGATTAGGTCCAGCAAGCTGGCTCCAGGACCTCCAGAAAGTGTTAACCTGGTGATGCATTTCTTGAAGTCTCTTGTAGGGATAACTTGTGAAATCAAAGGTTTTCCAGTCACCACTTGATGATGCTCGTCCCAGCAGAAGTGAATTAGGTGTGACATACTGCACAGTGTCCTCTCGGCTCTGTACCCTGGCATCAATGGGACGTTCATTTGCAAGGTTGGCAGCAAGCTGAAGTGTTGTTTGGAACTCACTGAAGCTTAGTCCCGACTCTCTTCCCAGGCTCTGGAATGCTCTTTTCACAATCCGGACACCTGCTTCAGCAGAGCCATTGCGATGAGGGGAATCCGCTGGCTGGATTTTCCACTGCCATTCAGTTCCATTCTGAGCTGAAGTTTCTTCTACAGCGGACCTGTTCAACCCATCCAGAAATTGATACAACTCCTCCAGAACCGGTTTGGCACCAATAAAATTGGTCCCTGGATCAGACCAGATCTTTTTAGGGTGACCCCGAATAGCTGTAAATCTTTGGTAAGCCATTAGAAAACTTTCAGTTGACATAGAGTTAGCAAGCTCTGTGTGAATTGCTCTGCTGGCCATGCAGCAGAATGCCAACCCCCAAACCTTCATCTTGACTCTCCTCTTCACATCATCTTTAACCTGATATGGTCCAAACAGGTCAACTGTTGTAAACTCAAATGGGGCTGCGGGCCGAGTTCTTTCTTGAGGTAAATCACTCATTATTTGCCGACATAATTTGGCTCTGGTTTTCTTGCAGATCACACAATTGTTAATTACTTTTTGAGTAATTCTTCTTCCTTTGATGATCCATGCTTTCTTTCTCACCTTCAGAAGAGTTGCAGCCACTCCCTCATGACCTCTGTTGTGAGCTTCGTAAACCAACAGCATTGAGACCCAGGCATTGTATGGTAACAGGGGAACACCAACCTTGTCTTCATTGAAAGCCTGGATCCTCCCACCACAAAGCAGAAGCCCAGATTCTTCCTCTTTGTAAACCACCAAACGGTCTATGGTAGTGGCTGGAAAGGTGACACCGTCCTGTGCAGCAAGAAAAAGATCTCTTAAAGCATCCTGGCGCTCCATTACAGTAATGACCCCAGTTAATGGCACTGCCTCCCACTTTGAGGTTCTCAAGATCCTCTTTTGACCTACAAAGCGTTTTGCAGCCCGCCAGACCTGGGCAATCACTCGGAGGAGCAAACCCAAATTGCTAAAGCGTCGTACATCCACCAAGTTCCTGACTGCAGTATTGGTGGGCGGTCTCCGAGGTTCTGGATCTGGTGGTTCTTTCTTTGCCTGTGCTCTTGTAAGTACAGCAGCAAACGATTTTTTCTGCATCTTTCCAATGGTTTCTCTTTCAGTTAATGAAACATCCTTTGGAGACTTTATTGGCCACTTACCAGTTGGTAGACTGAGAAAGTTTGGGCCTTGCTGCCATGCAGAGTCTTCCTCCAAATCCTTTGAACCAGACCCACGAGTGATGATATCAGCAATGTTCAGGGGACCAGGGATCCACAGCCAATCCTGAAGTTGTGTACTATCTTGGATTTCTCCAATCCTATTGGCAAAAAAGGACTGGAAACCATAACTTTCACGTTGAATTGCACAGAGAACAGTTTGGCTGTCAACAAAGTGGTACCATTGTTTTACTTTAATTTTGCAATACTGCACAAAGTACCTCTTCAGTCGGGCAGCAAATACTGCTCCACACAGCTCAGCCTTGACAGCTTCCCCCTTGTGGTCTAAGGGTGTTAGTTTAGCCTTAGATTCTACCAGCCGTACCACAGGACCTTGATCACATGCCCAGCGCAGGTAGAGGACAGCACCATAAGCCTGCTCACTGCCATCAGAGAAGGTAATTGCATCAGGCTCAGCAGATGCAAACACTGGTGTCAAAGCTCTTGGAAACTTAACCTGGTTCAGCTTGGTATATTCTTCAAAGAGATGAATGGCATCTGCTCTAAGCTTTTCTGAGAGTGCAAGGTCCCAAGTGTCTTTGATAGTTCTAAGCTTAGCTTCCTGAAATGCTCTGCGGACTAGAATGGCCCCTTTCTGCTTAACAGGTGTTGTCAGACCAATTGGGTCATATAATGCAGAAACTTGGCTGAGTAATTGTCGACGTGTTAGTGGGTTTGGTGTCTGGGCTCTCACCTCTTCCAGTTGAAGATTTCTCCCTTGTTTCATTTTCCTTTTTCTCTTTGAGAAGTTTATTCCAACCATGACATGGAGCTTGTCATCTTCCACTGTATAGCCAAGACCAAGAGCTTTGTTGTCATCCTCTTTAAGCTGATTTGGCAGAATCATCTTTGTAGCAGCCTCCCGTTCTTGTTTCTCAGTAGGCTGGTTTCCACTTTGACCAGAGAAGACCCATGGTTTTAACTCGAACCCGCCTGCATTCAGGATCTGCTCCACATTTCCAGTGATAATTTTGAGCTGGTTCAAGTTGTTATGAGAGGTCAAAAGATCATCAACATAGCTATGCTCTTCAATTACTCTCCGCTCCTCCACAAAATGGCTGAACTGGGGGAGTTTAGCTGTCTCTCTTAAAGCAAGTTGAGCAATACATCCTGCTGGCTTATCACCAATGTTGACTCTAGTGATTGCAAACTCACCCAGCTCCTCCTCCTCAGAGTCACGCCACAGGAACCTATGTAGGTGTACCTCTCGGTCTTCAAGCCATACTGAATTATACATCTTGCGTATGTCTCCCAGGGCAGCAAATCTTCCACTTCGGAATCTGAGAAGTACAGCTCTGATTGAATTTAGCACATCTGGGCCCTTCAGCAGAAGATCATTCAAACTCACCCCTCTACACTTTTGACTGCTGTTCCAGACCAACCTGACTGGAGTTGTGACAGAGTGTGGGTTTGGTGCAATGAGGTGACTGATGTACCATACTGGGCCAGTCCATGTATCCAAGATGTCTTTAGACAACTTCATTGCAGCTCGCCGCTTAACCATCTCATGAATTTGAGCTGCATATGCGGCCTTCCACTCTGGGTCCTTAGCCAGTTGCCTCTCAGTCCTCATGAATGTAGCTTCAACTGCACTCCTGTTGCAATGTAATGTGGCTGGATCTTCTACCCAGGGATAGCTGGCATGCCAATGAGGCTTCCCACTATGTTCATCTGAAACGACATATGTTAGTCCACTTTTTACCACTTCCAGCTCCCTTTCTTCAGAGAGAGTCATCTCTTTGCCACCTGGCTGGCAGTTTCCACAGCGGCAACCTCCACATTTTGGGATGCAACCAGCACCGATGCTGTCCCATTTCCACCACTCTAGAAACCTGGAAGTAGAAGCTACACAATTTGATTTGTGAGGTTTAATGGCAGTCAAAGGCTGTTGGCTCTGTGTACTTGGCACTACACAAACATGTTCTTCATACCTCACAGCAGCAGTTCTCATAGATCTTGCGAAGTGTGTTCGTGATGTGTGGGCTGTCATTGTGACCTCTTCAAAGAGCTCAGGATGGGTGCCAGCAACTGTTTTTCCCATTGGTCCATCCCACAGCACAAGATCTCCAATGGTGCATATTTTCTGTGGAGCTAGCTGGCCCTCTTTGTGGCTTACAAGGAGATGGATCTCTTTTGGTCTTACTAGTTCACTGAGTGGAATGCCTGGAAAGAACTTTTGCAGCTTCTTTGGAGACACATGTTTTTGTATGTCAGCAATACTGTCTAGGCCATAACAAACAAGCTGGTGAGACTTGAAAGTGCCTCTTGAGCTGCGGACACGGATTTTCAGGAGGTATCGCTTTGTTTTGACAAAGACTTTCATGCCTCCTACACCATGAACCACAAGCGTGATGTCTTCACTCCTGAGATTTAGTCGGCCTGCTGCCTCATGAGTGATATAATTTGTGTCAGAAGCTAGATCAATCAGGGTCCCGATTTTTTGTCCATCATTAGCTGTGACTTCCTGAATCATCATTAAGACAGGCCACTCTGTTAGCCCATTCTCTGTTAGAAGACTTGAGTGACTTTTTGCAACATGGGAAACCCTTGACGTTGTGTTACAAAATACATTCTGACATTGTTGGGCTAGTTCTGGTGGGAGTTTTTTCACAAATTCTTCTTGGGCTTCAGTGTAATTTCTTGTATTTCTACCTCCCACTGTTCCACTTCTGCTTCTCCTTTGAGTTGTGCTGCCTCTAGATGTTTCAGCATTTGGACACAGATGATAGTGATGGTCCGTGTCCCTCCTTTTCTCACACTCAGAATTTTTGCACAAGAAAAAAGTTTTGCAGTAATCACCAGGATTGTGGATGTCCAGACATCTCCAACATGCTCCCATTTTCCGTACTGCATCCTTCTTCTCTGCAAGATTAAGTGCACAGAATTTCTTACAGAAATAGAGCTTTTTCCTGTGCCTGAAATGCCCACAGACTACACACCCTGAGGGAGGGCTACTTGCTTGGTTTGCGATTCTAGTCCTTGCTTGCCTCTGCTCTGGTCGAGATTCCTTCCTCACTGGATCCTCATTCTTTAGTTGGTCAAGCTGTTCATAGATGCTTTCCTGACTCTTGAGGAAGTCCAGAAGATCTTCAAAGCGCTTCTCTGATTTAGTACTTCTCTCTGCAGCATAGAGAAGCCATTCTTTCTTTAACCCATCAGGGAGTTTGCTCTCAATTGACTTTGTCACAAGAGGATTTTTTAAAGCGCCACTGTCACCAAGGTCATTGAGGTCATCAAGGGCTTTTTCAATAGTTTGGATCAGTTCAACAATTTTCTTAGGCTGGTGACTTTTGACAGGAGGAAGTCTCTGAAGCTCTTCAATTATTTCAATAGCAATAGCTGATTGGCATCCAAACCTGTTTTCTAGTACACGAAAAATGTCATCTGCTGTTTTGTAGGTTACCAGTCGAAGGTCTCTTATTATTTTTTCATCTAAACTGTCAATGAGCTGAAACTTTTTCACTTCTTTTGACCCCGTGGGTTCTCCTTGACTCTGAAGAGCCTCCCAATCTCTTCTCCAGCGATGAAAATCGCGCCTGACGCCAGTAAATTTGGGGAGTGAGGTTGGCTTCAATTTGATAACTGATGTTGGGTAGCTGATGGAAGACGTACTTAAAGTTTTTCCAGCACTTTCTTTAGCCTTGGCTTCTATAAACTCTGCCTTTCTGGACATTAACTTTGGAACCATCTGTTCAAGCTCTCTTACACGCAGGTGAAATTCTTTTTGCTCAGCTGGAGGGGCCCAGCACTTCCACTGTGTGTACAACTCTTTTGTCTTCTTCACCAATCTTTCCATGCAGTCAAACATGAAGTCAAAAGCCTCTTTATTTCCTCCAGAGTCAAAAGACATTACACTCTCTACTTTTTCCTCTGCAGCTTTAACTGCCATTGTCAGTTCCTCTTCTCCAAAGTTTTCCCAAAGCGTCTTCTGGATCAGATTTTTAAGCTCCTTCAGTTTCATTTCACATTCACTTGCAGTTTTATCAATGTCAGCCCTTTGCTGCTCATTTAACTTTGAATCTTCTTCAGAGTCTTCTTGCAAGTCTCTATCTACAAGATACTGAGCTTCCACATCTTCATTTGCTTCCATAACTTTATTAGACTCAATTATTAGTTCCTTGAAACTGTCTTTGAGCTCCTCTTCTGACATTATGGCATGCATTCGAACAATGTTGTTGGCCAGCCGGGAAAATAGCCGTTTAGCAGATGTCCTGTTTCTCTTCAGCTGCTCTAAAGACTCTGAGTCAGCCATTTTGAGTTTCAATAGGGTTCCTGACTCTGCCAATCTTCTGGCCGGTTTTTCACTGTCAAGTGGTTCACACTTTGTTTTTGGTATTTTAACTGCAGGTTTCCCCCACTTGAAAAGGCAGTTTGCTTCCAGAGATCTCACAGGATTTCACTCATCACACCAAAGTTGATTCTTTCCTTTTTTGTCTTTTATTTGAAAGTTCAATCAACAATAGTAGTAGCAGTATTAGTAGTAGTAGTAGTAGTAGGTGAAAAACCTTTAAATATAAACAGAAAACACAATGATTAACATTCTTTAAACAAAATTGTTCCTGAAACAAAATATAAGATTTAAACCCAAAATCAAACATATTCAAAGAATTATTCAGTGATACATTTTAACATTCTAGTGTTCATTTACTTTCTCAAATACATTTTAAATGATTCCTCTTTTTTTTTTTTCTTCTTTTTCTTTTTTATTTATTTATATATATTTTTTTCTCAATGTTTCAACATTTCAGTCTAAATATTCAAATAATTTGTGGCTCACCGGCTCCTTCTCCTTGGAACAAACTTTCCTGCAGTGCATTCACCCAGGCACCCTCATAGTGCTCATTGTTTCTTAGTGAGTGAACATCTCCCAACTGATCCTTTAATTATCTTCACCTGTCTCCAGGTTGGGAGACACTCTCCCTATACTCAGTCAGAGGAGGGCGGGGCCTGAATTCAGCTTAACAATACTGAACCTCATTTTGACCTGTTTTAAGGACACTACTTAAAAGTTGGATTAGCCTGTAGTGTGTTTTTCCATTTCAATTTTGTGTGTGACTCAAAATCCAGGTCTCCATTGGTTAATATATTTTATTTCCATTGATGATATTTGTGTGATTTTGTTGTCAGCAAATTCAACTTTGTACAGAACAAAGTATTCTATTAGAACATGTCATTCATTCATGATGCGTTATTTGAGTGCTCCCTTATTTTTTTTTGAGCAGGGTAGTTCTTGAGCCAGCTGCCGGATGGGCTCTGATGGGTCATTTCTTGCTGGATTCTACTGTCAAGTAGAATAACAACCCAAATGCAGAGACAGAGGCTGAGGTGATTTCTTGAAGATTTAATAATGAGTGGTGGCAACAGAGGCATATCTCCAGAAACAACCAGGAAACACATGAACCAGAACAGAGAGGAACACAGAGGTTAAGGAGTGAGTTTAGAGAATCCAGGAAAGAGTAACTGCAGAGGAGGAGTATACAGGTGCTGGTCATAAAATTAGAATATCATGAAAAAGTAGATTGATTTCAGTAATTCCATTTAAAAAGTGAAACTTGTATATTATATTCATACATTACATACAAACTCATATATTTCAGATGTTTATTTTGTTTTATTTTGATGATTACAAATGACAACAAATGAAAATCTCAAATTCATCATATCAGAAAATTAGAATATTACTGAAGACCAATAAAAACAAAGGATTTATAGAAATGTTGGCCAACTGAAAAGTATGAACATGAAAAGTATGAGCATGTACAGCACTCAGTATTTAGTTGGGCCTCCTTTGGCCTGTATTACTGCAGCAATGCGGCGTGGCATGGAGTCGATCAGTCTGTGGCACTGCTCAGGTGTTATGATAGCCCAGGTTGCTCTAATAGTGGCTTTTAGCTCTTCTGAATTGTTGGGTCTGGTGTATTGCATCTTCTTCTTCACAATACCCCATAGATTTTCTATGGGGTTAAGGTCAGGAGAGTTTGCTGGCCAATTAAGAACAGGGATACCATGGTCCTTCAACCAGGTACTGGTAGCTTTGGCACTGTGTGCAGGTGCCAAGTCCTGTTGGAAAATGAAATCTGCATCTCCAAAAAGTTGGTCAGCTGCAGGAAGCATGAAGTGCTCTAAAACGTCCTGGTATGTGGCTGCGTTGACCCTGGACCTCAGAAAACACAATGGACCAACACCAGCAGATGACATGGCACCCCAAACCATCACTGACTGTGGAAACTTTACACTGGACTTCAAGCAACGTGGATGAAGTGCCTCTCTTCTTTTCCTCCAGACTCTGGGACCTTGATTTCCAAAGGAAATGCAAAATTTACTTTCATCAGAGAACATGACTTTGGACCACTCACCAGCAGTCCAGTCCTGTTTCTCTTTAGCCCAGGCAAGACGCTTCTGACGCTGTCTGTGGTTCAAGAGTGGCTTGACACAAGGAATGCGACAGCAGAAACCCATGTCTTTCATACGTCTGTGTGTGGTGGTTCTTGAAGCACTCACTCCAGCTGCAGTCCACTCTTTGTGAATCTCCCCCACATTTTTGAATGGGTTTTGTTTCACAATCCTCTCCAGGGTGCGGTTATCTCTCTTGCTTGTACACTTTTTTCGACCACATCTTTTCCTTCCCTTCGCCTCTCTATTAATGTGCTTGGACACTGAGCTCTGTGAACAGCCAGCCTCTTTAGCGATGACCTTTTGTGTCTTGCCCTCCTTGTGCAAGGTGTCGATGGTCGTCTTTTGGACAACTGTCAAGTCAGCAGTCTTCCCCATGATTGTGTAGCCTATAGAACTAGACTGAAAGACCATTTAAAGGCTTTTGCAGGTGGTTTGAGTTAATTAGCTGATTAGAGTGTGGCACCAGGGGCCATCAATTTTGAACCTTTTCAAAATATTCTAATTTTCTGATATGATGAATTTGAGATTTTCATTTGTTGTCATTTGTAATCATCAAAATTAAACAAAATAAACATCTGAAATATATGAGTTTGTATGTAATGTATGAATATAATATACAAGTTTCACTTTTTAAATGGAATTACTGAAATCAATCTACTTTTTCATGATATTCTAATTTTATGACCAGCACCTGTATATACCAAACAGAACAATGAATGAAGAAATGAACTGACTGGGGGCAGGTGTGGACAAAAGGAACTAGAAGGGAGCTACTGTAAGGGAAAGCAGAGTAACCAAGAAATAAAACATTACTTAAATATTACTAGAAAATAAATTAAATGGCACTAAAGATAAATGAAACTATTGACTAGAAAACGCAGAAATACATAAATCAAGTTGTAACTAAAAACTCAAAGTAAAAAACTTGAACAAAACCAAAAATCCAGATTAACAGATGATAACATTTGTCTTCTCAGTTTGGAGATATTCATAAAAAAATATCAGTGAGTTAGCGACTGATAAACAGCAAAAGAGGCATTAACCAATAAACTTAGAATTGTTAGTAGATATCCCCCGGTTAAATGTGCATTTAGACTGTTCAGTTTTTGCCTCCAAACAATAACAGCTATTTTTAGTTGTTTTGGTAAGTAAAGTTTTTTGGCATTTCCTCAGATGAGGAAAATAGATAAATAATAAAAAAAAACATGAATATTTATATTAGGATTAAAATAGTGACTCCAGGTTCTCATCTAAAAAAAAACTGTTAACTGGTTATTTTCAGTGTGGTATCTCGGCCTAGGCTTCAATGTTTTCTTAAAGGGGTTGTGAAATTATTATCTCTGTTTTGAATATGGAATACAGATAGACGACAACACATGAAAAGAACAGAAAAACTAGGAGTCTTGTAAACTATACAGTTTTGTATTCATTGTAAGTATTTTGGTGTGAACATTTCAAGCTAGGGAGATTACCCAATACTGCCCTAAAAATATGAACTAGGCAATAAAATTGAAACCAGAAGGCTAAAATTCAAGTGATCTGAGATCTTGCAGAGATATAAGCGTATTTCCTTACATGGTGTTACACCTCAAGTAGCCAAACAATTGATGGAATGAGAAAGTAGGTCACGTACTGACCATTGGAGATTCTCTAGCATACAATAGTTAAAATCTGTCTTAATGCAGACAGAGGGTCTACAAAGATAACTTTGAGATTAAGTCCAGCCTGCACCTCTAATCTGTCCCACTTGCTTCCATTCTGCAGCGGAGGCTCATATGTCTAGAATAATGCTGACTTAAGAGTTGTACTGCATTTAAACATATTCAATAATACCAGTTGGGTTTTCTGGGAAGGGCATTTTTGGGCTACAACATCAAATGCATAGGAAGGTTATGGTAGACTGCTCCTATTTAACTGAAGGTTTGTCAAACATATCATTCTGTTATAATCTAACCACACCATGTCTAGTTTTCAGCATCAGTAGAATGCTTCTAATTTCTTTCTCAGTTTAGCTCAAAAGTTTTAATGAGTCCATGTGCAGCATCACCAAAAGCAACAGTGAGTAAAATCAAAGCAACAGTTTATTTACACTGAGTGCAAAACAAAAGATGTGATTATAAAGACAGCACTAAATCAAAACCATGGGATAAGGTAGGAACAATGTTTTTTTCACTTCACTGACCATACCTGACTTAGAAAAAACCCCCCAAAAAGAACCATAAAGCCACTCTCTCAAAAACACATTTGCTATTTTTTGTATTTCTTGCAAGCCTTTGTTCACATGATGCCTTTAACCACTATCTGAAGCCTAAACAGATGTTTGGACAAGTGATTTTACCTTCTAGAAAACTGTTGCACCCTAAGGGCTTCAAACGGTGTAAAACAATTCACACAAATACACCAAGTTCATCCTCAACACCTTAAAAAACAGACACTCTATTTATATCCTCAAATGCATACAGAAAATGGAGCTGTATACAGGTGATGTTTTGTTTTCAAGTAGAAGGAAATCAAAAAGATGGAGTGGACATATGAACAAAAACACCTCAACATAACAACACAGACTGTTGCTGTCTTCTTAAATTATTAACTTAAAATAAACCCTCGCAATTCAGGAGAAAATGTCGCCTACTTTTACAATGTTCAGGTTGGGTTTGCTTAGAGGTGCTAATGTTTTTGTGTCCACCCAAATTAAAAGCAACTTCTGCTGCCATTTTACAAGAACATAAAATATATTTGTTGGATATATATGGATCTATTTACATTTTTAAAACAAGTCAGGCTATCTTCTAAATTTGCAAACACCAAACCCTCCAAAGAGCTGGCCCCCAAAACATCTGATATCAAAATATATTCAATTTCGACAGGATTGAGAAATACATTTAATCACAGGAACAGAGATTGATTACAGTATTTAACTTATGTGACATATTTTCTTACTCCTGTATAAATATCTGCAAATGTTAATGGAGAAGGAAAGCAAAAAAGAAACAAAAGAGAGGATTTGAAAGAGATTCAACATCTGTAAAATTCTCTTTGCCAGATGGTGAGCTCTGGTCTGGGCATGTCCCAAAAATATACAAGAGCATGAATAATGCATTGGATAGAACTTACTTCACAGTGTTTCCTGATGTACCCTCTGTCTCTCTCTTTTCTCTCTCACACACACACTCAGACATACATACACACACGGACAGATGCAAACATGCACCAACTTCCATAACACACAAAATGAGCCGGGAGCCCACATCTGCTAAATTTTCCCAGTGCTGTGAACATTATGTGTGGAGTTCATTGACAAAAATCACTCTGCTAGTCTATGTTTACATCACATTAAAAGAAAAAAAAGAAAAAAATCATGATCAAAGCTAAGTCATCCAAAATGTTTTGAAAGTACCATCGTTCACTGAGAAAGCACTGACAACTTTTTCCTGTCGTCTCTTCTGTGACTTTCACGCTGCTTCCCAGTCATGGTTCCACGGCGTCCTCTTCAGCCTCGTAAAGTTTCACCGAGTCAAACAGGAGAAAGGTGTTAAAGGCTTTAATTTGACAGACGGAACGGTGTGGCTCAGCGTCTGTAAAGTCCAAACTGTTTAGCAGCAAAGTGTCATTAACGAAACATGGCCGGGTTATTATAGTTTCATGGAGGGGACTGGAATGAAGATAAAGCAGCTGACTCACTAAAAGAACCTCTAATAAGTTTGAATCCTGTCACAAAGGTGCAAACAGGAAGATCCTCAAGGATCCCTTCCTTAGAAATCAGGTTGTGGATGACATGAAGGCTCGTGTTTTTTTTTCTTCTTGTTTTCACTTTCCAATGATGACTTTGTGATCTTGCTGAGGGTGAAAGTTCAATGCTAATGGTGTATTGCTCCTCTGAGTTCTCTCAAGTTTTGCTGTAGAGACTGTCGAAGCTTTTTTTTTTTTTTTTGTCCTGGATGGTCAGTCCTCGTGGAAATGTTACCGAGGTCCGTTGGTCAATGGATACAGATGTAGTGACTGGCCACCGCTTTGCTTGTGTAAATAGAGAGCTGTTGGTGACCCTAAAGGGAAAAGATAAAGGATAAGAGACAAAATGATGAATTTATTTTGAGTTTTAGGCACAACTCGTACTTTGGTACAGTACTGACAACATGTACTGTCTTTGACTGTCCTGCAGCACAACTTCTAATCTAATTCTATCATCTTATAAAGACTGGAGTATGAGTCCCAGTTGAGCGCCAGAGAGGAGATCCAGGTAAACAGTACAAATAGCCCTCATTTAAACATCAGAATTACAAACTTAAATTCATTTATGGAAGGTTTATTTAATAGACCAACACAAAGCTGTGCTGAAGTTGAAGTCCTACCAATAAAGTTCTCCAAAATAATCAGATTGTAAGGACATCTCTTTTCCCCATCCTTCTTCAGGGGACTCCACAAACTCTAAGATATATGTGATGAAATGTAATTTTCCTCAGGTGAAGCCATTCTGTCGCAGATTTAGAGGTATAGTTGGGTTTAATGTAATAGTAAAAAATGAAATCTTGTTTCACTGTCAGCTTTGTAGCACACACTAAAAGATTTTGGGTGAAAACATAATTGTTGTTTGGAAGTGTTCCTCATTTAATATATCTTAACAAAAAAACTGCACATCCCAATAAAAACAACCCAATAGATAATGATGGTTCTGACAGGTGTCAGGGTGGGTTGGTGTGCTGTGTGCGTTCACAGGGACGAATTGCTTTGATAAGACCAAAGGAGTTTTTCATGAATCGCTGTGTTGGCATTCTGGGATAAAGCGGTTTACCGTCAGCACAAGGAATGTGAAAAGACAAATCAAACCCACAACCTGCTGATTGATGGGTAACTGCTTTTAGTAATTTTCAGTTTTCAAGCTAGTTGCAAGTGTGGTTTTCTGACCAGAGACAGTAGGGGGAGATTGCATAAGATTCAATCATTTCAAAAACAGCTGATTTACCATCGCAGGGACCTAAAAGAGGATATGTAGTCTGGGTTAAGCACCGATCAGTCATCCTGTCCACTTTGCAGGAAATCAGAACCAAAGCATAATGTTACCACCCCAATGCTTCACAGTAGTTAGGGTGTTCTTGGACTAGCTTGGCATTGAAATTTTTTGGGAAGAAAAGCTATCATCGTCAACTCTACTTAGTCCAGATACAGAAAGAAAACAGGAGATTCCTAAAAAAGGAAATTAAAAACAATCCACTGGACTTTGTTTCCAATTTCAACTTGGAAACAAAGTCCAGTGGATTGTTTTTTTCTTTTCTTTGGAATGAACCATGACCTGGATGACTGAGAATCTTCACCTGCACAATATAGGAGATTTTTTACGTTGTTAGATGTAAGAAGACATCTTTTTTTTCTTCACTGTTGCTATCAAAACTTCCCACACTAGTTTTATTCCCTGTTTTATTGCATGTTCTTTAATCTGTGTCTTTATTTTCTACATTTACTGAGTACTGTTTTATACTGTACGTGATCTGATTGCTAAAATATGAAAATGTGCAATTTTTCGAAAAATCCTTCTAAGACAGTAGAACTTTATTTACAGTTAATCATATTTACTAATGATGGATAGCAGGTAGGTAACCCCCCCAAAAGATGAATGAAGTTACATAAAATAGCATTTTTATAGAGTGTGAATACTTTTGAATCTAATAGAAGGTGGAGAAAAGCTCTTTTTGTTACTTTTTTAAACTTCTACAGTTTTGATGTCTCAGCCAAGAGTTCTATGAACAAATCAAATGATCAAAAACTGAGGTCCATTTCTACAGCTATGACAAAGTGAGGAATGTAATGCATTTATTGGTTTAATTTGTGAATTTTAATTACTTTTACAGTAAGACTTCCAGTCCATCGATATAACCCTTTATCATTTCAAGAACTGGATGGAACATCAACCCCTCCTCTCCAGAGAGTGACATCAGGAGTCCTCTCACCTGACAGTGAGTGGACAATGAGAGTTTACCCAGGGGAGGTGGCCTTTCCTATGAAAACTCTAAAAACATAACAATGTGATTACTTGTCTTGTTGGCTCACTGTCCCATGGAAGGAGGGTATGGAGGCTGCCAAAGAGCAGAACACCCCAAGTACGCAGACCTGGCAGAAGTCTGCAAGAAGGCAAGTTGGAAAACAGCATGTCACATCGAGCTCCCGGACATGGGATGCATAGGAGCAGGCTATTGGAATGCCATCAAAGAAGTGGTGGAGGAGAAAAAAGGCTGTAGCTGACAAGTAAGGATATGAGTTTTGGGGACAATTAACCGTCAGGGCATCAGCAGGAGGTGGCAGGGTGAGATACCTGCAATTGCTTATTTAATCAACATTGTAAAAGGACCAAAACAACTATGACTTATGTTTCCCAGTTAATGATCCATTTTAAGGAAAGTGGTGTCTAGAGGATCCTATCTTCTGGGAATCAACAGCTGAGGTGCAGCAATGCCTAGCAGGCAGATTTTTAGCTAGTCTTTATTTATTTAGCCAATCACATGACCGGGGAAACCTAACACAAAAATTATAAAATCGTAAAATTAATATATTTTGTTCAGCTAAAACTGAACAATAAAAAACAGCCATAAATAAACAAATAAAAAAATATCTAAATACGCTTATATCCTTTAAAAGACTACTACAAAGAGGCGGAAAGGAGCAAGAAATTTTGTATTTCGAAAAGTTTGCAGCACAAGATTTAGAGAAGCCTGTGAAATACTGGGAGAACATAAATCAGTCAGATGGGACCAGAATTGAACTCTTTGGATGCCAAAATACACATCATGTTTGGAAGTGAAATGGCACCACACATCACCCCAAAAAACACAATACCAACAATGAAGGTTGGAGGTGGGAACATCATGGCGTAGGGCTGTTTTTCAGCATATGGTACTGGCAAAACTTCAAATAATTGAAGAAAGGATGAATAAAAAATGAAGAGAGATATTCTTGATTAAAATCTGCTGCCATCTAACAGAATGATGAAGATGAAATGTGGGTGGACATTTCAGCAGGATAATGACCCCAAACGCACAGCCTAGGAAACTCTTAATTGAAAACATAAAGAGTGTTTGTGTGGAAGAATGGGCCAAAATCATACCTGAGCAATGCATTCGACTAATTTCTACATATAGGAGCCGCCTTGAAGCTCTCTTTGCCAACAAATGTTTTTCTACAAAGTATTTAATGAATTTCAGTAAGTGTGTCAATACTTTTTCCCTGTATCATTTCACATTATTATACATAATTTAATTTCTGGACATCTATAATTTAATTTTTTATATGTGTGGATGCAGGGATTGTTACCGACATCTGGTAAAAAGACCATGCATAGCCCCTCTAGAAATATATATACTGAGAAAAACACATATGGATACATTTATGTAATACATATCTATAATTATTAGGAAATAATCAGACACACTCTCCCGCTGTTTATTTTTAATATCATATGCCTGTATAGCTTATTTCAAACAGTTTTAACTCTTAAGACATTCCTTGATTTCTACATACAAACTCTTCCATAGTTTTACTCTGCAGATGTTAAATGGATAAATCCATAAATGTTAATGCATAAATGATTCAGGGCGACAGTGGACAAATGCGACACCCGAGGGCCGCCCATATAAATCATGCAGACACTTAAATATAAGTTGGCAAATCCACATAGAATTGCACAAATTCCCAAGGACGGGCAAATAAATATTTATGACTCCACCAATTCCCCTTTTTCTCCATGTCCTTGGTAATTGTATGTGATTCATTTTGTTTTCTCAGTGGAGGAGGGAAAAATCAATCTTAGGATATTGGCTAGGAGACATAAAGCGTGTTGCTCCCAAATACTTGTGGTTTTGCAGAATATAAAAGCTTCACAGATACTCAGTCGGCAATCCCTGGAGAGGGATTTGTTTTATTCTTTTGCACATTTCCCCATGTTTTTCCTACCATGCGAGCATAAATCACCCGCTCTACTCCGACCAACTTCTAAAAGGAGGATCTTGACATAGAGCTGTGTAAGGCATGCACCCCTAACATAAGCAATTCCTGTTGTGTAGAAAGTGATTTTTGGAAGACAAATTACTTTTGTCAAAAAACAAATTTCCCAGAGATTTTCTCCTGCTTTGTCTTGAAAGAAAGCTGGATTTTTGAAGAAGCGTTTGCCTTTGATGCCAACCCCAAGGGAGCATTTTTTCACTATATATCATAAAACTACCCGTAACTACCCTGATTTGACTTTTCTTTAACTCACAACTATACATCAAAGTGACTGCATGCTGAAAAATGAACAAATCCATAGTGATTTTCCTTCATCTAAGATAAACTGTTCCTACCCTCCTCTACTTTTGAAAGGCCTAGCTTAGGTTACGCCTATATTTACAGTAAGAACACAAGGTTTGGAAGCCTGACTTATTCCCCAAACAGGCTTTGCACCAAAACAACAAAAATAAAACAGATTTAGATATTTCAATTCTGTTATAAGAAAGCAGGGGCAGCTATGAGTGTTTATTCATGCCCAGATTTAAAGCTTTAATTATCCAGACATAAACAACAGGATTTTGTTGAAATTTATCTCTAAGTCGACAATAAAAGAAAGAGACTTACTGTATTTCAAGTAACCCCCTAGCACTGCGGGTTATAAGAGCCAAAGGCTTTCCAGTGTGGCATCAACAGCTGTGGGGCTGTTACTGACTAAATTCAAGACTGTTTGTGAAATGGAAGTTTCAAATATAGCTCAGGGTTGAAGCGAAGGTGAGCTTCATAGTCAATCTGCTTGTGAAAAAGGCACAATGTTGGTCTGTTCAATAAAATGCTGAAAACTTTTAGTTTTTAGTGAAGTGTTTTTTTTTTTCATATTCATGTATTTAATGGTGTCTCACTGTGTAAATGTGCCCCAAACCTAAATAACTTCATAAATCATTTTGGAAAATAAGGATTTGGTCAATAACACAATTTCAGCCCAATACTGTGTAGCATAATCTTTGTTGGCAAGGAAACCGGTCTCCACCAGGTTTGCTCACAATGTAGCTAGTATTTTAAACCATTTCCCCATGCATGCACTACAGAGCAGTGATGTTTTGGGACTGTCACTGCGCAACACAGACTTTTAGCTCCCTCCAAGACTTTCCTATGGAGTTGAGGTCTGGAGACTGGCTAGGCAACTCCAGGACCTTAAAATCCTTTTCAACATAGCCATTCCTTGGTTTCCCGACTTTTTTAGATCGTTTTCATGCTGGAAGACCCAGTCATGTCCCCATTTCACTGAGAGAAGGAGCTCTAGGCTTAAAATCTCATTATACATGGTCCATATTAAAGAAGTACCAAGTCATTTTCAATTGTTCTTTTCTTACAGGACCTTTTGAAATAGCGCTGTTGTAAACACTGGACACCCTCAGCAAATCAGCCATCCCCCAGCTCAGTGCTGTTGCTCTTTAAGCAGCTAAAGGGCTCATATCGTGACCAAATGTCTAAAGGGGTGGGTAGGAACTACAGTATTGGACAGTATCTAATGCAAACTAGAGAACAGACCCGCCAGACTGACATCACATCGGTGGCACAGATAGTTGCAAGCGTGGATTTCTGACCAGAGCCAGTAGGGGGAGATTGCAAACCATTCAATCATTTCAAAAACAGTTGATTTACCATTACAAGGACTTAAAAGAGGATATGTAGTCTGGGTTAAGCCCCAATCAGTCATCCTGTCCACTTTGCAGGAAATCAGAACCAAAGCATAATGTTAACACCCCAATGCTTCGCAGTAGTTATGGTGTTCTTGGGCTGTACCTCAGCATTCTTCTTCCTTCAAACTCAACAAGTTGAAGTTCTATTTTGATTTCATCCAACCACCTCATATTGTCCTAATCTGCTTCTGGATTATCCTTACGCTATCATGCAAACCTGGACCTGGAAACTGGGCCTGACTCACAGTCTTCATCAATTTTTGACCCAATGGAATGAGATCCTGATTGGGTCCCAGATTGAGGGAGATGATCTGTGGAATTTCATGTATTCCAATTACTTCCACAGTTGATTTTTTGTAACACAAACCTGCTTACCCATTGTGTACTCCTCCCAGCCTGGTGCTGGTTTACACTTTTCTTCCTAATGTCTTTCAACGGCTCTTTGGTTTTGGACTTGGTTAAAGTTAGTCTGACTGTTTGAGAATGCAAATGGGTTTCTATTACACAGATAACGAGTTCAAACGGGTGCCATTAATACAGGTAACAAGTGCAGCACAGAGGGCTTCTTAAAGTAGTTGGTGGTCTGTAAGGAACACACATATAGCTTGTTTGTTGGTGACCAAATAGTTATTTTCTACCATTATTTGGAAATAAATTCTTTTAAAATCCTACAATGTGATTTCATGGATTTGTTTTTGCCCTTTGTCTTATAGTGGAAATAAACCTATGATGAAAATGACAGACGTCTCTCATCTTTCCAAGTAGAATGCAAAATCAGTTGATGACTGAAATTTTTTTTTTTGCCACACTGTAGTCATGGCTTTTCTGTTTAAAAATAAAATCAAATTGATCAATTTTGTAATAAAACACAAAAGTAGTGTTTTTGCTTGATTGTTATGATGCAATGAGAATCTTATACCGAGGGATAAATTAAATCATATTATAGGCAAATTATAAGTCATCATAAATCAACTTCTTATCCAAAATTCATACCTGCTGTTTTTCCTCTTCCACCTACGATGGCTCCTTGGGTAAAGGCTGGAAAGAAAAAAGCAGAGGGTCAGTATGGAAAGGACAGAGCCTTAATTTATTTAATTTGCTTTAAGATCATAGGAATTACACTCAGCATGATGATTTCATTAAAAATTACAGCTCTTTAAGCTGAATCTGAAAAAAAAAATGTTACTTTGTATGCTACTAGTCTAACTAAAAGCTGTTTCCCTTCTCAACCTAAATATATTATGTTATATAGCATGTTATAACTGCCTGATCATAAAGGAGAGAAATTTTTTTTGGTTAAAACAACCAATTTTTTGTTTCAGCTAAAGTAAGAAAGGATGACAATCAGCATTTCACTTTGTTTCTCTGTGAGCCCAACCTACCAGCTCCTGCACTCCTACATCGAGAATACAACATGCCATTTTCTCCTGACCACGGAATGGAGAACTGCTTACATGCCTTCTTAAAACTAGCGAATGGGCCACTTTTGTGTAGATAATGACTCGGCTAATTATAATCAGAAAGGTAATGGTGTGTTTAGCCAATCAGAGGAGGCTCAGTGTGCCGGTTGTCTGAACAGAGCATTGGCATTCCCAGCAGCCGGCGGCTGAGTTGGCCTCTGTCTGAGTTGTTATTCTGGTGCCTGTCCCTGCCTGCCGTTCTGCGATCTGTCTCTCTGTCCGTGCTGCCTGGCGGACCAGCCCCGGCGCCTTTAAAGAAATCCAGTCCTCTGAAGAAGCGCTGATCCATCACACCTCTCCCGCAGCATGTCATCTAAATGCTAAGTACTTCCACTGCATCTTAAAATCAAAACAAGAAAAGAAATGAGCATTGGAGGTGAGTGGTTGGAAGGGATAAAAGCTTATAAGGGGACAATAGAATCAGCAGTGCAAACCCTTTGCTTTTTGATTACCTTCCTTTTTGAGGAAGGGGGGAAAAGTAGAAAAGGAGCTGAAAAACCCATGAGGCTTATTATCCCCTAAAAGGCACAAGGAGAAAAAAATAAAGCTAGCTCTTCTAAAGATGATACAAAAGGTTGCTTCAAAAAATTATTCTGTTCGTTTTGCCTCTAAATAAATGATCAGAACTGCCCCCATGATGTCCGTCCCTTCCCTCTCCTTTGTCCTCCTGTCTCAGTCCAAGTGTTGCTTATTGATCGGAGGGATTCTCCAAGTCAGGGCAGGAGTGCTGAGGCAGCAGAGGCAACCGGGACTATTAACTGCTGCCACTAATTAAAAGGTTAACAAGGTGAGTTTGGCCCCACGGGACCAACTGGGCGAGAGATGAAGCATGCTGTGTGTGCGCCTTGCTTGCCGGTAAACAGCACTCATCGCCTATGGTGTTTACAAGTCAGGAGGATCCAAGGACATCGCAGATGCATTTATTTCCCGTTGGCAGGATGGATGAGGGAGATTCGCAGATAAGAAGTGAGAACAAGAGCTCTCCTAATTGCTAAAGTTGCAATGAAATTTAAAAACTTGGAACCCTGATTTTTCTTTGCACGAGAAAAATAAGGGCAAAGCATGAGAGGCAAAGTTCTACTGTCTGAATTAGGTGCAGAATATGGATCTTTTTCAGCAGAATTTGGTTTATCAGGGGAATTACAATTTAAGAAACAGACAGCCTTATTTTCCTCTGTTCTAAACAGAGACACATACATTTTAGTTGTTACCTCAAGCCACAAAACTGTCACTATCAGCCCACCCTGCTGCTCAAGACGCGGGCCCTGTGCCATCATTGCAGTAACTAAAACCTTCTCCCCAGGGGGCTCTACTAACAAGTGCCCCCCCACGCATAGGATGTGGCTGGTTTCATCAGCTGGAGCCTCACAGCGGTCCCAGAGATTACCAACCACTGTAGATGCCCTTGTTTTTAGGTTAACAAGCGACGCCGAAGCTTACTGAAGATCAGGCGGGGATGATTTTCACTCAGAGTTTGAGCTTGATGCTCAAAAGCATCGGAGCCGGAGCTGTCCCCAAAGGAGCAAAACAAGATTAGGTACAATGCATCCGGGTTTGTTAGTTGCTTTATTTCTAGAGGGGGAAGCTACAGAGAAAGCAAGCAGGATCAAGGGTGGCTCATTATAAGAAACACAATTTCTGTTGAAAATATATGCAGCAGCTGTTCAGAAGCAACAATTATTGACTTAGTTTTACACTTTGGGATCACAGAAGGCAATATAAAACACAACTCTGCTAAATAATTGGGCCGTTGTGTTAGACTTGTTAAACCACAGGCAGGCTACTCTTCTGGTAGAAAAGGATCAGGATTTGTTGCATTGAACGGTGAGCCCACTCCAGGAATGAAATTAGTGTAGATTTAACACAACGAGAAAATATGCAAATCAAACTTATTTTCATAACTCCTAGCAAATCAGTCGGGCCTACGGGATAATTGTATTGGGAAGTAAAACATAAAGGTTATATTTCTTTATGAAACCAAAAAGCCATAAAAATAACAAATGCAAAACTGAAGCTGGGGGGATATGGTTTGCAGTAATTATGGTTTAAAAAAAATGCTTTTTCAGGAAGCAGTAAAGAAAACCACAACAAATATTAAGTTTTCTAGTTATAAAAAAATATTCTGTGAATACAACGTGTTATTTTGAACCAACAAAATACTGACCAGCTATTAAAGTTGCATAGAAAAAAACAATTATAAATTCATTTGAGCATTTTTTCACTTTCAGCATTACGGTAATTAAATGTAACAACTTTCCTCCACATTGACCACATTTGCTTGCTCAGTTCTTACCTTCCAATAATGCATATATGTTTAAACTGAAATCACATTACGAAAATTGTGTTTAATTTAAATTATAGTCTCTTCCACATGATATATATACCTAAAACTCGTTTGGGTTCAATGTTTTAAATAAACTAAACTGTCTGTAAAGAATATTTGAACATTTACTCCAATAAGCCACTAAACATTTCAAAACATAAATTGTTGAAGGTTCAGATGCTATTTCAGTACCCAGAGAAATATTCATTTTTTTGCCAATAGTAGATGATATAACAGTTTGGAAAGGGAAAAGAACCTGAAGCTGGAGTCTTTGGTCATTGTTCTCTGAGCCACTATGGTAAACAGCTGCTAAACTGGCCAATGAGGGCTTCCTGGACGGGGCCGCCTTTTACATTTGCCTTTTGCATCTCTGCTTGAACCCCAGTCGGCCTCAGCAGATGGCCGCTCACACTGAGCCTGGTTCTGCTGAAGGTTTCTTACTGTTAAAAGGGAGTTTTTCCTCTCCACTGTCGCTACAAGCAAGCTTAGTGTGAGGGTTTGCTTTTGAGTAAAGAGTTAATGCAATTAACTGGTTTTCCTTAGATAGAAAACTTTGAATCAGTTTGACTGTGTGATCTGGTTGAACTGTAAAGAGCCTTGTGTTGTGAATTAGCGCTATATAAATAAACTGAATTGAATTAATCTCTGCTACATCTACCACAGAAACAGGACATAGATTTTTAATGCCTTGCACAACTCCAACCTCACTTTGCTTTTTATTTACATACCCAAACAAAAATGTCCACTTAAACTGTTGTTGTATAGTTCATCTTATCATTACCCCTGTTAAGAATGCTTTTGACATCCTGGTCATTGTTATTACTGCTGATCATTATGTAAACAAAGTAAAACTGAATTAAAGTCTTTGTTCACACAAACTAAGCCTTTAACATTGATTCTGCTTCTAAAAACCAATTACATTATATTCATACATAGTTCCCCCTTTTCCTGTTAAAATTCACCAGAGTTTAGAAAATATCAATACACTGAAAAGTATTAACACATAAACGCTGCATATTGATAAATTAATGATGTGGCATGGAATGGATACTAAAGATAAATGTTGTTTGCATGCTTTTTGCTATTGTTAATGTTGGATTTCTGGATTATTTGCACATTAAAAAAATAAAAACACAGAGAACCTTAATTAATTGTCAAACGGTGTTATATTCTGCACGTATCTGGACACTTATTTAACTTTAATCTGTGATTCTCTTGAAAAAGCATAAGATTGAAACAGGGTGAGTTTTTCATGTCAATGAAAGTTTTTTTGCACCCCTATTTATTTATCATTTTTTATCACCATGGTATCAAAAAGGTTATTAAATATCAAAATAATATTAATATTATAATATTTAATATTATAATACAAAATACAGGATTATATCTTTTAGTTGTTACAACAGTTAACTGGCTGGCCGTCAGTATTTGTCGATGTCAAAACCATAAAACTCCTTTAAAATTTCCATTAAAAACTGAGGGAGAATATTGTCTTCCAGCCTCCACAGCCGCTGCCCATCAGGCTCTTCCTCCTTAACAATCCATTTATCATAGTATTTTCCCTACGCCGACAAAGGTTATTTATATTTTTATCGAAAAACTAGAGAGATTAATAATGCATTTTTCCTGGAGCGACAGAGGCCGCTAGAGAAGAAAGCACTGCCAAATCCCGAACCATTGTTAAAAAAGCGAACGACAGAGATGAATTAGAGTTTATGAAAGGCAGGCCCTTGAGACTGTTTTAAAAATGCGTACGAATGACGAATAAGTTCTCCCTCAGGTGTCAGTAAAGCTTGTTACATCAACTTTAAAGGAAGCAACTGGTATGTTTTCACATAAGATGCAACTCTAACATATCTGCCACCTTTAGCATAACCTGGAAGTCACAGTTTCCAACAGTTTTAAGGACTTCATCCAAAATATGAGCACTTTGAAAAGTTTCAAAACACTTCAGAAAAATTCAATCATTTTCAACAGTCTCCACCATCCCGACAAACCCTTTTGCTTTTGATTGTAGAATCACTTCAGCTGAATAGAGCAGCAGACTTTTAAAGTGAGGGGGGGTAGTAGTAGTAGTAGGACAACAGCACTGCAAAGTTATTATGATAAACACAAACAAAATTGGTGAATAGCTCACAGGAATTACAATGCTGAGAGAGAGAGAGGGGGCTGCTGCTAAGCATGCTTGAATCTGTCCAGTGTTTATCATATATATAAAGAAAAAAAGGAGTTGAAATGTGGCCTATAGCTCAGAC